CGGTCAAGCGGTCACGTGGTGCACGCTTCATAGACAGCGATGATGACGAGCATGATGATGCAGTGGAGAATGGCAGTAGTGCTGCTGCTGCCACAGAACAAGCTGCTCCGGCCGCCAAGCGAGCAAAGCTGCCGGAAGCGAGCACGGCCAACATTGTAGCGCAGTCCACAAAGGCGTCTGCGCAGAAGCTTGCAAACTTCGCGTTCGCCAAGTAATCCACGCCAGGAATGTGCCCCACCGGCACTTTATTATCATAACTATTAATTTGTATTTGTATCTCAGGCATTGCAGGCAGGCCTCCTAGAATTCCACCCCCGTTTGCCTAGCCGCCCGTAGTGTAGCTTAGGCACATGATATCTACTGCGTAGTGGGTAGCGACGTTTGTGAATGTCGTGTTTGCGTGCAGCTTCACCCACTGCATTATCTATAGCTTTGGTGGATTCGTTTTGGTCTTCGGCTTTTTCACGCGAAAAAAATCGGGTGACCGTTTCCATGCCAACCGGTACTGTTACTTCGAAGTACTCATCTGTAGACAGATGAAAATGAGAACAGTCTAGGCCACAAGGCTGCCCCCCCCCCTCCCCTCCCCGCCCAGTTCTTCCGTGACCACCAGTACTGTATGTGTTGATAACAAAAATCTACTTCAAGTAATTTTTACTCTCCTCTCTCTGCGTTCAACTTTCCTCTCTCGAAATTTGTTTACACTTCTCCCCGCTCGTCTTCAAGTTTTGTAGTCCATTATTATTATTATTTTTTATCTTTTTACAATTTCTTTGCTACATTAATACATATTATTAGCGCTGTGTTTTTCCTGTATACCACTGGCAATTGCGTTGTCTGCTTGTTTTCTTGCTTTTACTCATCAGTTGTATTGGCCTTTGTTCCGTTTTTTGTTGTCTGCAGTTGCTTCATCTGCCGACAGATGAACACTTTGTTAGCTTTTTAAATCATGCTTACAGGTATTCCCGCAACGGTCAGTCCCCGCAGAGGTTCTAGTCGGTCTTCAAGATTGCATTGCACGCGTATCTTCTTGGGAGAAACGCACATTCTCAAACAACTAACTTTATGGTGCCAAGTCCCAACCTGTAAAGTCACGGTTCACTTGAATGCCCATGGAAATACTATAATCATGGAATACCCGGGGCTGGGGATATTTGCTGAAACTGGCCTATCAGACTGAAGGCGTTGAAATTTACTAAGAGGCCACAACTTCGTCACATTGTTTTATCATCTTTAGAACACGACATACAGTCAACTTCAGTTATAACGACACTCGGCGGGGCATCAGAAAAGTGTCCTTATCCGCGAAGTGTCCTTATACCCGCAGTCTCATTATTATGTGTTACAGTTGGATGGGACTTGGCTCTGGGCATGAACATTCTGTCGTTATTCGCGAATTGTCGTTATTAGCGAAGATGGCTGTACTAGTGCCCATTATATTAAACAGCAGGCTAATGATTTGTAACGTTCTCACACGATTGTTATTAGGAATAGATTGGCGTAATTGCTGCAAAGAGATTAACTTTTGCAGCACGCAAATTTGCGTACTGAATCTTTAATGAATTGGGCTGGTCCACGGTGAGACACTTTTGCAATTCAGTCTCTTCAGTAGGATCTTGTTCTGTCCACAGTCAATTATTTACGGAGTAGTTCCGGCGATTTATATTCGCGGATGTGTGGGTGCGTGCTGGTCGCGAAAATAGCGAAACATATACAATGTTGAGCGAAAGTTTTAACAGTCCAGTCAACTTCGCTTATAACGACACTCGGCGGGGCATCAAAAAGTGTCCTTACTCGCGAAGTGTCGTTATACCCGAAGTCTCATTATGTATTCCAGTAGGATGGGACCTTGCTCTGGGCACGGAAATTCTGTCGTTATTCGCGAATTGTCTTTATACCCGCAGTCGTTATTAGCGAAGTTGACTGTAGCTAGCATTAGCTTTGTGTAGTTCTGCAAAATTAACGTCTTGCATTTTGAGCATTGAGCAGAAACTAGCAATAATGTTCCAAGCATTACCAGCCAAGCACTACCTAGCACCTTCATCATTCACTTACGTACACCAATCAATTATAGTTTAGGAGTCCAGAAAACATGCTCGATGAGATATACAGGCTAGTAGCAAGAGTCCATTAACTGTTTTTGGACTCGTGCTACTACTATTACTAACATATCCACCCTGTGCTCGGTGTGTGTGTGTGTGTGTGTGTGTGTGTGTGTGTGTGTGTGTGTGTGTGTGTGTGTGTGTGTGTGTGTGTGTGAGAAAGACCAAGGGTATGGCTGTGGGTGAGTCTGCTGATCGCCGTGACGTTGTTGTCGGAGCAGACACGATTGAGGTGGTGGACCAATTCACCTACCTTTGCAATGTGCTCTCCTCGGATGGTCTTGCCTGTGCTGATGTCCGCTCTCGCCTTGCGAAAGCCTCAGCTGTGTTCGGAGCCCTCAAAGCTCCCGTCTTTGATAACATTACCCTGTCGCTTCGCAGCAAGAGGCGTGTGTAAGACGCTGTCGTTCTCACGACCCTCTTGTATGGTGCGGAGACGTGGACCACCAAGGCAGGCCACCTCCAGAAGCTAAACATGTTCCACCATCAGTGTGTTCGGTCCATCGTGGGTATCGGCCGTCGTCAACAGTGGGATCATCGGATCACAACGGCCACATTAGCGGCTTCATTCGGTGTTGACCCTAACATCACCAGCACGATCCGTCTTCGTTGGCTGGGTCATGTCGGCAGGATGGACGACGCCTGCTTACTGAAGCAATTGCTTTTCGGCGAGCTGCCTGCCCCCCCCCCCCCCCGTCCTCGTCACGGCCCGAAGAAGAGGTGGCGAGATTTGGTTTCGACTGACCTGGCGGACCTCGGCGTAACCACCTGGCTTGAGAGTTGCCAAGAGCGTCCTGGCTGGAGACGAGTTGCGAGTAGCACTCCACCGCCACAGCCCGCTCCTGATCCTCTTCTCTGTGTCTGTGAACGCCCGTTTCGTCGACCAGGTGACCTGAAACGGCATGCCAAGTTCTGCGCTCGTGTTCTCACTTGAACTTTCCGACATTCACTATCATTGCAATGGGCAAGATCAAGGTTAAGGTGTGTGTGTGTGTGTGTGTGTGTGTGTGTGTGTGTGTGTGTGTGTGTGTGTGTGTGTGTGTGTGTGTGTGCGTGTGTGTGTGTGTGTACGAGCGTGCGTGTGTGCATGTGTGTGCATTCTAAAGAAATTGAGACCATCTTTCTTTGAATGGTTGGGTGGCTTTGAAAAAAGCCGGTTGAATTGGTAGCGCGGTTGCCGTCCACATCACCACCATCAATACTGCGCTCTGTGGAAGAATCCGAGCTGTAATGGCTCATTGTCACAGGTCCTGGATTCGTACACCTGCAGAGTAAGCACATAACGCCAACCAACATAGCACATCAATCTGTCGCCCAGCCGTAGAGTTCGTCTAAAATGTCTCAGGCGCTTCTCGCAGACCGAGTTAGGCGAAAGTGCGGGAGTGCAACAGCCTGTGAAACATATCATGTCCACCTGGGTCAGGTGAGACATATATGTAGCTGGTTTCATTTTTTTTCGCCAACCCACTTGTAAATTTATTATGGTGCGCGTGCGGCCGAGTAGTTCTCTTGGCGTTCTGAGGAGTGCCCACAGTTCGGCTTTCCTCCTCTGCAGCACAGGTGCCAACGCTTCGTACATCCGCCACTCAGTGAGAGCGAGTTCACGTACGCTCTCGTTGGACAACTCGCCAACTATCTGGTGGAAAATTATCCAAATGCAGTCCCTGAAGTTTGCCAAGCTGTTTTCCTGACCCTGTTCTCGCGAGTCAGCGGACGGTTCGCCATTATTTTTTTCCGAGAACGGCAGAACGTCCCACAACCACCGAGATGGCGAGTTCTCATCGACAACTTCAAAATCCGAATTCGAAGCCACCATGATGATGGACAAGCAATTCGTCTCGCTCAGGACTCAGAACTCCAGTGACTTGTTTTCATCGCTAGCGAAGTCGAAGTGAACTACAGTAGTCGCGTTCAGAGCGGGAGCAGATAAATGCTGCGATGTTGCTCTATTCAACGTCGCCCGAGTACTCCAGCCAATCAGCACCTTTCCCGCCACGGCCTCGGGTAATAATAATAATGCGATATTTCTCGGAAAAATGTGTTTCCCCGCAAATATTTTATTTCTGCCTAGCGCATAGCGCTAGCGCCGCCTAGTAATAAGTACTACTACTAGTATCGTCAGGAGACAAAGCATGGTCGAGTTCTTTTTGGAGATGGACATGATGGACGTCGCGGATAAGGATATGACCTCCAACTTCTGTCGTCTGATACTTCCGTGGCCGTGGATATCCGGATCATTTTGTTCAGTCGCGTTAGCAGCCTAACTGTCGGTAAGCTTGTGGGTAGGATTCAGTTCGGCTCGATTTGAATCGATGCAGAATCGAACAAAAATTTTCGAGCAACTCCAGGCATGGCCCAGGCCTACTACCTACATTGTACAATTATGTAGAAGCTGGATGACGTCAACATTCACATCTGACATTAATTTTTAAGAGTGCATTCTTAAATCCTCTCGGAAAAGTTCGAGACCTGTTCTTACATGTACATATCCTCTCCGACTTTTAGGAGGCTCTCCAAAGCTCACTGAGGGTCAGAACCGGGTTCAACACCCATACTATGGTTCAGATGGTCCCAACGCACTGGGGCTCTACCAACCGTGGATGGTTATCGTAAGGTCACTGTTTTCGAACACTGTGTCCTCCACCTTGTTTCATGCTTTCAAAGCAACACTGACATGATTGTGTGAACTAAAACAAGGTTTATCTAACCCTAGTACTGTACAGTCGTCCCTCTCTAATCCGGCACCTTTTGCAACGGCATTTTCTGCTGGATAAACGAGGGTGCTGGTTTATCAAATCCTGTCCTCCAACCCGCCCACCTGCTAACATACATGTTTGTATCACATGTCAAAACGCAGGGATTTTCTGTGTCAATCCAAGTACTTTGTGGAATGCATGTCTACTATACAGCGCATAGGATATTCCCAAGTGTATATTACATGTGTAGAATGCTCCCTGATAAGTAGCTCGTGCACTGACCAAACTGACATACCGGTATAGCTGTGCTCCGGTACGGTATGCGATGTAAAACTGCTGGATTAGAAAACCGAATTATGTACAGTTTGAGCGATTTGTTGCAGAAAATTGCTGCTGGAGGCGGAATTCAAGTGCCGGATTAAAGCGTAGAAAATGAACTGAAAAAATCCGTTTTGCCAGAAAGTGTGCTGGTTTGCAAGGGTGCTGGATAAACAAGTGCCGGATTAGAGAGGGACGACTGTACTAGTATTGGATTATCTACATCTATAGTGGAATAGACTGTCTGTAGCTGTAAGTTGTAGTATAGCATTTTACTCAGTAACCATCTTCCTAATCGGGTTAATCGGCTTGTTTGAGAGGAGTCAAACCGGGACACGAGTTACACGACCTCAACTCAAAGCACTAGTAGTAGTGCTACACGTACTGAAGTAGAGCTTGAGCGCCGAGCGGTCATGCTTGCAGCAACATCAGTCGTTCGTACGCACTTTACAACTGTCATTTGGTAGATTTTAGTAGGCCTTGACAGATTATGCTAGCATAATTTTTCGCATAATTCCTACGGAAATTACCAGTAGAAGTTGTTAGTCGGGAGTTTGCATTGGTTACGTTTTTCTTTCTGGTTCACATTGGAGATGTGAAATGAGTGGAGTTTCTTGTTTCCTTTTGGTATTTTGTTTTCTCTTGTACAGAACCTGACAGCAGAAGCAAAGGCGGCTGCTAAGGCCAAGGCTGGTGCTGTATTTGGCCGCAAGGCTCCCAGGACATCCACAGCGAATGGTGACCCAGGTCATGCTGCTGCTGCTGCTGCTGCAGTGTTATCGTCGTCGCCATCACCCCTGGTGACCGACAGTCTGGAAGACAACATTGTAGAGAATAGCCTGGACGCTACGCCGCTTCTAGACTCGGTGACCGCTGCTAATGCCAACGGTGACAACGTCTACGCCGTCACCTCCATCGGCCTCCTTGATGACCGTACTTGTCTGTCACCG